GGCGTCGCGGAGAGCCCGGAAGGAAGGAGGCGGCGGCGATCTGAAATTAGGTTTCTACTGTTCGGAGATTTGGGGGAAAATAGAAAGTAGTTCTTCTTTAGATAATTATATGTTTGGATTGCAAAATAAAATGTTGTGTTCCCCTATTGAATGATTGAAACAACAATTTTTTGCTTATAAGTTTTACTGACTTCAAAGGGAATTTTTTCTATTTATAATATTTTTCTTATTTTGCTCAGTAACTTTTTAGTACTATTTGCCTTTAGTTTGACCATTACTTTGTCCAGTTGTTTGTTTCATGTGTGCGGCCGTTTTATCCTTAGCCCCACCTTTCATATTCTCATTGTAATAACGGACTGGATTTGCTAATAATGAAACAAAACAAAATGAGTCGTTTGTGAGCACACTCGAGCTCGACTAGTTAATTTTAAAAAATAATGTATCGAGATCAGACTTTATTATTGACTAGTTAACGAGTCGAGTACAATGAGCTCGAGTGCACCTCATCTCATTTTCACCCTTACTTATCATAAATTAAAATATGTTTACAATCATATCAATCATTTATATGATATTTTAATGTTCCACCATATTAACTCGTGTCTACTGTAGATAGATGAAGTAAATTGTTCCAAAAAATAATGAAAAATACCATAAGAAACGAGATATTTATATCTTTCTTTTAAATGATAATAATAATAATTTTAAGGTAAAGTTCAATGAAATTTTTTGCTGAATAAACCCTATTATCAATATTTATCAGTATTCAGTTTTGTGCATTTGTACATATATAAATAAAAGATTATAAATAATTTGTATGTATATAATATTAAAATTATAAGTTAGACAATTATATTATATTTTAAAAATAGAATATTATAAGTTATATTTATGCATGTAATATTAAAATTATGAGTTAGATAATGGTATTGTGATTTAAAATTTGATCATTTATTAAAATAAATAATACACAACGATTTGATTGCATATGAATCACTTTAAAGATTGCATAAAATGTAATAAATAATGTAAGTTTTGTAATTTTGAGGGATCGTGACAAGTTAATTAACTGAAAACTATTAAGTTGATTATAAGTTATAACAAGTGTTTAGCAATGAAATATTTTATCATTAGTGAGATAGGGTGGATTAATGCCACATGGGTAAAATTTATTCAGTTTTGTTAATTAGAAATCAATTTTAAAAAAAGGAAAGAAAATTAATCCCTAGGTTTGATATTCAAAATACAACTGACTAATAATTGCATTATTCTTGTAATTTCTCAAATCATAAACAAAATAACGTTGTCCATAAGTAAGTTTGTTTATTATGAGCGTGAATCTCAGCCTAATTTCAGTCAGAATTGGATAATTAGAAAATTCAACATTGACTAATGGGTTACAGATTACATTGTTACAGATATACTTGATTAGGTTAATGTATTTTCCAATAATATCTGTACTCTCAAATCTATGATCATATACTGTTGATTTTGTTCCTTTTATAACAAATTAGTGTATGGGTATGGCATTGTTTGGATTGTAGTAGATCTATATAAAATAAGCGAATTGAAATTTATATAGAGGTTGGACCCGTCAAATACATTCCCGTTGAATACATTTTTCTATTTCCATGGCACTAATTCTGAATAAGCTCAATATATGAGCCTTTTGAGAAGAGAGAATTCATTGAAAAACATGCTAACATAAAATTTTCAAAATAGTTATCCAATTCACTATTTACCAATAATTATTTACAATCAGCTAATACGATTCACTAGTCAAATCAAATTTTACAATTCCTCTTCATCTAATAGGTGCATATGCCCTAACTAAGGTGGCCCATATACTCTCCATTGGATACCACGTTGGGCCACATCTTGGCCATATCCATCAATACATACATGGCCTGGCCCATTTAAATCCATCCATCCTGGCCCATTTGATTTCATGATTCAACAATGACAGAAGCTCATTTTTTCTTATATAACTTCACCAAAATTTTTCATATTCAAGCATTGTATTTTCACACTCTTATCCTCAGTTGGCATGTGTTCATCTACAGTTCGGAGCATTGGATCCTC